TGAACATGTATGTGTGAAAAGCGAAACTATAAAACGTTTGTTGGGTCTTTGTTAAGCGGTGCTATACCCAGCTCGACGAGCTCCATCAGTTGGCTAACTCCGATTTTAATTTCGCGTCTTATAGTAATATCCATAAATAGGTGTTATTGAAGGCACTTTTATGGATAAATTATATGAGTAGTTCTCAACATTTCTCGCCAATTTAAAGGAATTTGATGTATCAATTATTTTTTTTATTAATATTTATATAATTTATCAAATTAGTAGTTTTTTAAGTTGTTTTTGGTTAAATGAGAACAACTATTGACCAGATGGGTAGATCTGACTCTTGCCTATCTACTGATGTAAAAATATTTCTTAAAATTCATTAGTATTAATTCGCGCTCATCAATTTCCAGTTTGTAACTGCCAACTAGACGTAATTACTCTATGCGACTCTATCAATCGTCATTAAAATTCTAATAGTGGATGTAACACTCAATTCTTATGATATATAATATGTCTAGATACCTTTACTGTGAAGTCCATAAAAGGCGTTTAATTGTTAATTATGTAACATCTGAAAGGGTGAATTCTTTCAAGAATCCTTCAAGATATTTTGTTCGGGTTGAAAATGATGCCAATAGGCTCAGAACAACCTGGAGATGAATTTGGTACACGGTTTTAGGTGTTCTTACCCTTTATTTTGGGTGTTCGTTGAACATGTATGTGTGAAAAGCGAAACTATAAAACGTTTGTTGGGTCTTTGTTAAGTGTTGCTATACCCAGCTCGACGAGCTCTATCGATTCGCTAACTCATATTTTAATTTGGGAGCGTTCGCGTCTTTTAGTAATACCCCTTATTTATGCAAGGACAAGATATCTATAGACTAACTATACGATAGACACAAATTATTGGTCAGCATTTGACTGGACCATTTCTGTTCATCATACAATTCTTCAAATGTAAATTATTTTTACACGTTTTTACATTTGCTGTTTTAATTAACTTTCTATATCTTTCTGCGACAATTGGAAATAAATGATCACTTTCATCGTTGGCATTGTTGCTGAATGTAAAAGAAGCATCATTTATAAATCCGTCGTTATATCGGAGTTCACACTAGTTAAGAGAAACTCTGGGTTTGCCCCTCTTTTCCTTTCCAGAAGTGAATGTTGCTGATTATTGCCCAAATCGGTCATTATAATCATAGATGTTGTCAGTTCTTCAACTGATTTTTTGTTTTATTTTTGTTTTCAACAATTAATGTTATATATTTTATACGCGACTTAAAGATGTTAATATGCAATATTTTAAACAGTTAATTAATCCATATAACACAAATTTTCCGAGAAGAATGTCAAAAATATTTTCAAATGATTACATTATACTATTTCAAAACATACGATAAACAATATTTCAATGAATGAGTAAGAGTATCTCAAAGATAATCTACTGGTGATCTTTGAGACTATGAGGGATTGTTTTTTTTTAAAAATAAATTTCAAAAAACGATGTGTTATGTCTGAGGAACTCTTTGTGTTTTTATGTATTCAACAAGGTTTATTACAAAAATGTGTGAATAAAAATGACAAAGTTTATCAACCAACAACAAATCGGTCAAACAAAAAAAAAAAAATTTCCTAAAAAATACTGTGGTACAAAAATGATGAAGAAATAAATCAGGCTTTTTTATACTTCAATACATCTATGAAATAAATTCATTTTCATGTTATCAACAATTTTCAGTTGTTCATTTTTGAAAAATTTCATTTTCATTAAAAAACGTTTGATCGAATCTAAATTGTTCAATTTTGTGATGTTATTCGATGATAACAAATCATCACGGTAAACTTTTGATATAAGTTGCAACCAAAGAATATCAGAATATTTCTTTTCAAGAAGAATCAGTTGTTCATAAACAATATTTTGAATTGATTCATCATGTTGTTCAGGATCCAAATAGATTAAGAGGATACGAATTATATTTTCAATATCAACAAAATTAACGTTTATTTTCGTTATTATATAACCAATATTATATAAGATATGTTTTAAATAACGATATTCTAACGTATGTTGCTGATGTTCTTGTCTATATCGTTTTGAATTGATTTCTAAATAGTTCATTAATACATTCAAAACATCTTGTCGTAAACGTTTATCAATAAATTGTGAACATACATCACACAAAACTTGAATGTTTGTGACACATTTTATTCTCACATTTAAATCTTTATCATGTAAACGTTTGACAAGTCCTGGCCATAGTTTATGAACTAATGGTAATAAAGTATTTTCATTAATTAATAGCAACAATTTGGTTAATGATGGTAAAGCATCGAGAACATAGGAACGAATTTGACTATTTGAATTTGATATAAAATGTTGAAATACATCAACAATCGATGATAACATAAGATGCCATGGATCTTTTCTTATTTCCTTTTGAACTTCATCATTATCATCGTATTCTTTCTCATCTTCTTCTTGTTCACTCGTATTATCAACAAGAGGTATTTTCACTTTTGAATGTTGTTTTCCTAAATCAAGTGCAAAATCAACCAACGTTTGTTTATCGTTTGTTTGATCATCAACTAAAACATCAATTTGAAATGATACTATATTTTTTCAATTATAATACTTGTAATTATGACTTTAGCAATATATCAAGAATCTCGACACCATTATTCAAAATAACTCTTTTAGACTACTGTCATATAAAACTGAAACGTTCGATTAAAATCATTTCGAAATTTCAAAATATATATTATAAATGATTGTGCGGTTCAAAGTGTGAAAAGAATCTATGCGTATGTAAAAAGTTTTTCGAAAAATTCTATAACAAGATCTACGGTTTATAGATTTATCAACGTGTGAAGCAGTTCAAACAGAATATATTTTAAAATTTTTAGAATGATCTGAAACAATTTTGAGTGCTTTACGAATTTTCATGATAATAATCTAAAATAGGTTATTTCACGAGTTCATACAATGTACAATCACGTGTCTCCAGTCTAGACTATCGAAGGACGAAAGTCAGATGTATCTCTGTCTCTTTTATTTTAAATTATATTCTAAAAATAGTAGTGTTTTAATTTGAAATGGATAGTAATTACCTAGTTGTTGTGGTTGTACGAATGTTTCTTGATGATTATTATCACATAATGCAACTTGTTGACAAAAAACGCTTAAAAATTGAAATATCATTCGAATAACATCAATAGATGGTAAACATTCTAATTCAAGTAGAATATACTCAATAACATGTGTCATTATTGGTTGATTAATAACACTAGCACGTCCGATTCGACTAAATTCAATTAAAATAATATAACCATCAATTGATGATGTTCGCAATTTTTTTAATGCAATATCAATAACATAATCACAATAATTTGATAATAATTGTTCAATAGATTGCTCCCTCGCTATCATTTGTAGACTACGAAACGCTGTTTGATGCACTATAGTGTATTTAGACGAACAACATATTAATAATAATGGTATATAATCTATCAAAAATTGATGATATTCATCATCATTTTTCAAATAATTTGATACAGATAGTAGACATTTCAAAACAAGATAAATTGTTAAATTACGTAACGATATTGGATAATCTAAAACATAATAAAAATATATAGAGCTTTTTTAATATCATTTGCTAGTCATGAAGAAAGATCTCCATTTAATCGGTTTTTGATTATAGGCAATTTTTTATGTAGATCACGAATCTGATATCCATTTCTGTTGCTTGACCTTTTTGATATGGGTCTTCGACAATTGGATGTTTGAAGATCATTATGAATGAACGTTGAGTTACCAATATGAAAAGATTTCTACAACCAACAAACAAGTTTCATAGTTCATTCATAATGGGTCTTCAAACTGTCAGCTTTTAAACATTCATCCCAAAAAGATCCAGTAGTATAAACGTATATCAGATTCGTGATCAAACATTAAAAATATCTTCGATAACAAAAAAGCAATTGAATAGTTAAGAATTTATCCTCGTCAGTTCCATCTACCTTTTGATTTTCTCGCCTTTTTGTTTCTTCCGCGATTGTCATCGTCATACATATATGTCGTTAATAATGTAATCATTTGATCCATTATTGTATTTTGACAATGTTGTTCAATCTCAATATTGTTGTTCAATGTATCAATAACAATCGATAATAAATAAATAAATTTCATTTTGTCATCTTGATTATCTGTCTCATTTAATTTTTCAATAAAAAATAATAGAAATCCACTTACGTTTGATTGTTTAGCATTTAAAAATATATGAAAAATTCTTTGAATATCGTTATGAACATCCGGTTGAATTAATTTGTATACAGAGTAATATTCATCGTTACTCATATTCATATTGATTTTAATCGATGTTGAATTTAATAATAGTAAATTATCCTTAATCAAAAGTTGAAAATCTAAATTATCTAATACAAATTCTAAAAATTGTTGACAAAATGTATCCAAATCAAATAATGTCTTAATTTGTCTATGAATAAATTGATAGTAGCCAGCGAATAATTGTAGACGCCAACGACGTTCATTTAGTGTTGCCGTATTGCTACCTGATTTTGCCGTTCGTGACAAACATAATTGAAATAAATCTGTTTGACACTGTAAAAATAAATGATCGGATAATGCAACATTCTCAGTTGAATTTAATATTTGTTCTCGAAATAATGTTTGATATTTAATAAACGCATATGTATCAGATGCTGACGATGTCTGACAAATGATGATGGGTAATTGGTGTGATACTAAATGAAAAAAAATGAAATAATATGAGACACATATTACTCGTCCATTTCAAAATAGAATACGTGACGGAAGAAGTTGAATATCTTCGGAATACAAAGAGCTACCGAATCGGATTTTCACCATCACGTAGCCAAGATCAAGGCACGTAACTATATATACGAACCAAAGTTCTCAGTCAGTATTGCGGAGAGATGTTTAGAAAACCAGTCCGACGATCTGGGAAGCTTTAGTGAATATTCAATCCAAATCAATTAATTCATTTAGTAATCTAGGTCTGCTCTACGAAACCACGCAAGTCACAGATTTTTCCGTCCGAGTACTAGATCTCACAGGTCGGTACACCCAAAAAGCACGCTTTTTGACTGGTCTCAGCTCGGATTCGCGTAAAAACATAGGTTTTTGAGGCGAATATGGGGTTTTGGGCCTCACCCACTTGAAGACTAGAAGGCGTCTTTCTGTATAATCTCTATATCAAAAAGAACTTTGGCTATATTCAAGAGTTGACAGGTTTTCTGAAGTCCTCTAGAAATTTAAATATTTTTAAAAACAAAGTTTGATTTTTTTCACATTTGTTTCATGCAAAAGATGTCTTCTAAGCCTCTTCTGAAAATTTCAGCTCAATCGGTTAAGAACTGAATAAGTTGGGGTCACCTTATTTGAAAGGCCAAAAACCATCTGTTTTGCTAATCTTTGTCTACCGTCCTTGGATCAATTTGAAGAAGAGAACAAACATTTGCACGAGATTTAGCATGGCCGTAAACCTATGTTTTTACGCGAATCCGAGCTGAGACCAGTCAAAAAGCGTGCTTTTCGGGTGTACCGACCTGTGAGATCTAGTACTCGGACGGAAAAATCAAAAAAAAAATTGCGTGGTTTCGTAGAGCAGACCTAGACTACTAAATGAATTAATTGACTCGGATTAAATATTCACTAAAGCTTCCCAGATCATTGGGCTGGTTTTCTAAACATCTCTCCGCAATACTAACTGAGAACTTTGGTTCGTATATGTAGTTACGTGCCTTGATCTTGGCTACGTGATGGTGAAAATCCGATCTCGGTCGCTCTTTGTATTCCGAAGATATTCAACTTCTCCCGTCACGCATTCTGTTTTAAAGTGGACAGTAAACATCTTTACATCATACAATTGAAAAATTTGTCCAACACTATTTGTATATAATTCGCATTCTCGTTTTTATCACCGGTAATTGCTGTTGTAGACATAATAAACAGTGTTTTTAAGGCTATTATTGATGATAATGTTAATAAATTTGAACAATAGTACAAGATACTGATCATCGTTGTTGTAAGTGCACATTGAACATTTAAACTTTCATGTAAACTATATTCATGACTAAGACGTTTTAATACTGTTTCAATATGATTATCTACAATTCGTATCCATTCTTCATTTCGCGTCACATAAATACCTATCAATTCTGATTTTAAATTCTTTATCTCACTGTTTTGAGTTGATAATCGAACAGATATTCGAATCAAATAACTAAACACAATTAGACTAGCTTCAATTAGACGATGATGTGCTTGTTTAAACAAGACGGATGCCAATGTTTTTATGAGACCCGGTAAAAAACACGACAATATTTGTCCTACAATTATTTCATACTCATTGTCATGAATATACACTAATATCCAAAGTGTTTCTAATATATCTAAACGATAATCTAATGTTCCCGTATTTTCATATAATGTTAACAAACACGATAGATAATAACCAATCATTGTTAAATGTTCATTTATATTTGATAAAAATTGTTTGTAAAACAAACATTTATCCTGTTTAATATTCAAAAGAAATTGTTTTATAAATTTAACAAATAACCACTGTTGACCTTCATCTTTTGTGATCATTATACGTTTTGAAAATAAAATACTGATTAAATAAAGAATATCTTTTAATATCTTTTCACTATGAATATCGATAATTTTAAATAAATTGATAAATTGTTTCAATAATTCATCAAATGTTGATGTTAAATGAAATTTTTCATCTTGACGTAATAGTAAAATAACTGGAATATATAAATTATCTTCATCGGTCGTACCACGATAAGAATGACATGATTTAATTATTTTAAAACACAAACGAATTTTGTCTACTGTTGGCTGTTGTAAAACAGAGCAAATCGATTTATCCAAATCATTTATGAGAGTAATATCAAATTGTTGTTTATTAGACATTTTTATTTAATTTTGCTTCTTGTCGTAATCGTCGAATTTCTAATTGTTTACGTCGTTGTTCTAATTCTCTATCAGCCAATAGCTCATTTACATCTAAAGAAATAAACAAACATAATACATTGAAACGTGTCCATAAATCTTTATATTTTTGTATAGAAATACAGTAATATTTTTTATTCTTCCGCTAGTATAGTCGAAAAAATTTAGAATATATGTTTGCCTATGACATACTAATATTTGTAAATTCCCGTGTTTTAGGATTAAATTCTACAATTTTATCTGCACCAATTAATTTTGCACGTTCTACAGCGTGTGATGAACCTTAAATAAATCAAAGAAGAAAAATAACTATTTGTTTTTAAGTGAAATAACTTTTCAAATGATATACCTTTTTCCGTTGGATATCGATCTATTTTCTTTAATAGTATATAACCAATGGAAAACCACACCACAAAGAAAGATACTGTATTAATTGCACCACGTACACTTTGTAATTTATGAAAATTGAGTCGTCGCCAAATAACAAATTGTTTTTGCCATCCAAACCATTTATTCATCTTAGACAAAAAAAAAAAATGAGAGAAGATATTACTTTTTAAATGTACATTCTTAATTATACACATGCGTTACTATAAGTACAACTTTTTTTCGAATGATATTCTTGAATGCAATAGTAAAATAAAACATCCTTACTGTGATATACTCTTACAGACACATAATATGCAAGAATGAGAAGAGTATAAGCGTGAAGGATGTTGCATATTGCTCTAGTTTAAAGGCAAAAATCATAACTAAAAAATTGAATCTATTTTTCGATCTAAACCACGAAAGATGAATGTCAATGAATAGAGATCTATATTTTGTCACATTTCTGTATATTGTAACATCGAGAAACAACACTATCGTTTTGATAGGTATTTTACTTCTTACATTAATGATAATTATTGAACTTTTCGAATTAATTCTACCGCTAATTGAGATTTCTCTATTAGCAATTAAATTCGAAATTGTCAAGCAACGATATTTGGACTAATGTATAGTACGATGGTGATCGATAATTGGGAACAAATTGAAATGCTGGAAATTATTTGTATCTTCTTAGTAAGCACCTACTGTCATTTTCTTCCTATGAAGTTCAATCTGGCTACACTGGGTATTATTTATAAGATAAACTTGACGTTCATAATGCATATTGAATATGCCATCGTTTTTCGGACTCTGACTAAACGAGATTTTTACATGTATACAACAAACTATAATATATTCTTGACAAAACAGCATGCCTTGTTCCATCATTTCACACTTGTTTAAACTGTGACTAGTATTAACTGTCTAGTTAACAATTGGCAGCTATAATTGAACAAAATGTGCTAGTTTTAGTATTTCGATTATTTTCAGAAAAATCACATCAAACGTTTCGTACGTGAACCGAGTAGATCAAACATTTGTCTTTAAAATGACGCAATAATGAGTCTAATTAGTTCAGTTTTGAATGAACGCTGTTCGTTTACAAATAACTCCAAAATGCAGGTTGAAAAAGGTGAAAAATCGGTCACAGAGCTTTTGCGAAAAACATTATTGAAAACACAGAAATAACGACAGAAAATCAAACGATAGAGAATTTCAAGGACTACATTTTGGTCTGGACACAATGCATACGTTCAAGTTCATACTGACGAAATATAATTTTTCGAGCTAAATTTTATAAGTTTTCAGGACATTTCGATTTTTGTTCAATTAAGGCAGCGTCTCAAACCTCATGATCATCTTCTATACACCATTTTGTAGAGTAATGAATGGGGAATCTTTCTTGTAAAAAAACGAAAAGTCTGTGATTTAAGAGAGAGAAGAAAAACAACAAACAAAATAAGACTGAATTTCTTCTGGACCACCACCGTTGTATTTGTTATTTTCCTGCCAGACAAAGAAGTATTCGAAAGATCTTGGTGGAAAATATCGAAAGAAAAAATGTCGAAAAGGAAAATGTCGATAAAAAAAGACTAAAACGTTGAAGAGGAAAATGTAGAAGAGCAAAATGCCGAAAAGGCAAACGTCAAAAGCGGATAAGGGACGAAGGAAAATATCGAAAGGAAAACGCCGAGAAGGAGATTTCTTTCTGTTCCTTGAAAATCACTGAATGAGATATACGTATTATTATCATTAGAACGACTATTGGTTCTCATCGGACGTCCCCAACCTCGTAGTAATTATAGCCACTCGTCGAAAAAGTAAAGTATGATGAAGTTCAGTATGGCTGCTACGATGAATGCCTCACCCTCACCCCACCGGGGACATCAGCCCCAAAGCAATCAGGAAATACAGCAGCTTTTCAACAACGATTTGACACACTCAATGAATGATTTCTCAATAGAAAATTTAATGCAAAACAGCTACTGGCTAGATTATCGTTCTTGATCAGGATAAACGAAAAGTTAGTTCACGATCTATTGGTCCTGTCATTTCTCTTCTACTCTCTTTCTCTATGTAGTTTAATAAAATATCTCTTTCACTGATTTTCAAACGAACAGAAAGAAATCTCCTTCTTTTCGGCATTTCCCTTTCGATATTTTCCTTCTTCCATTATCCGCTTTCGATGTTTGCCTTTTCGGCATTTTGCTCTTCTACATTTTCCTCTTCGACGTTTTGCTCTTTTTTTATCGACATTTTTCCTTCCGACGTTTTCCGTCAACCCCATTCGAAAGTTGAACATCGTCGTCAATATCGCTTATAAAACATCTTTCCCAAAGTTAAAGCACGGAAAATTACCTAGCTGAAGACTACAGCTGGTAAAAAATCCAAATATTGAAAAATTACAATGAGTTTTTTATTTTATCTTTAATTTACAAGTTTACTCATCTTTCTCGAGTTTAGTATGCATGAAATGTACAAAATAATAGCACATATAATACACATTGAAAAAAACAAAGATAAAGCACTGTATTTTCGCTCTTCTTTTTCTATTGCCAGAAAAACAAACAAAAGGACGATTTACATTAACACACACATTTATTCGTGCAGTCTTCAGATATAAACAAGTAAACATTCGCGTTCAAAGCACGAATTAAAGAAAAAAATGTTAGTTTTAAATAAGTTATAAAAAAAAACCAAGGTTTTTCTACTATTGACACTGATAGACGTTTCGAACAGCTAAGTTAAATACATAAACAAACGAAAAATAACGTAGAAAAATAGTACAAAAAAACATAAACACTTTCTGCATTGTATAAAATCGACAATGATGAGCATTAAAAAAAAGAATATAATAAACAAATAACAAGTTAGGTTTATTTACGTCCTTCATTCATTGCTCTATCACATAATTTACAAACACGTACGGGTGTAATCCAATCTCGTTCCGGTACCGGACGTTTTGTTGGTGAACAACTCTCACACACACAATCGCCACAATTTCGACAATGATGTAATCGTTTTGTGGTATTATTAAATGATTGATGGCAAATAAAACATGCACGACATTCATTATCTGGTCTCCAATAGCCGGGACGTGTACTCTCTTTGATTAATTCTAAAATAGATACGATATGATATACACTTATAGTGTTTATTTGAATATGAGTAAGAAAAGTATTACCTAATGGATAGGTAACAGCCATTTTTTCAAATTGATTTTTAACAGTTTCATAAACACGTCTCGATGTTGGAATATCTGTTGAAACAGTGCCTAAAATTAAACGAAGTCAATATTTAAAAAATTGATTTTATACTATATTTTTTGAAGAAAAATAGTCACTATTAATATTCATCCATGCAGGTCACGATCATGCAAAGCAATATTTCTTTCATCTATAGTTGTCGCACACAACGAAACCAACTAATTATGAAATGACATTTGTGGTGTTGTTCAACCTTTTACATGAAGTAGAAAGAACCTGACCATATTTTTAAGAAAATTTTAAAATACGAAAAATACATAAACACAAGCAAAACAAACGAGTGTAAACAAAACACATAACAGGATTGTTTAACTCCATTTTTACCTGATGGTGACTCGATATCGAAAATTTCAGTTGGAGACATACACAAATCCTCACCGGAGGTTGTTGTTGCTGTTGTTGTAGATGAAGATGAAGGTGAGACTCGTGTATCTTTTACATGATTATGGGATGTTGAAATTTTCTCATGGTTAACTGTATTTCTTATTGTTGGTGGTGTTGGTGATAAATAACATTTATCACAAACACGTAATGGAGTCTCATTATTAATCCAAGAAATAATACGACGTTTACTTGTACAACTTTCACAAAAGACAAGTCCACAAGCTAAAGAGAGTAAGATTTAGAATTTATAGAAGCAAAAGAGGATAAACTACTACCTCGACAATGATGTTTGGAATGTTCTAAACCGAATAATAGTTTACATTGCGAACATTCCTAGAAAGACGAAAAGTGAAGATTTAACTTTGATTTTACACAGATATTATTTTTATTTACCGCTATATCTCGATTTGGAGTCCAGTATGTAGGCGCCACGCTATCAGCAACCCATTCACGAACTTGGGCCGTTGGAGCTGATAAATAACTATATGAAAAATAAAATAAAATAAATAAAATATTAATAAAAAAGAATAATTGAATAACAAGTCTTTACCTTCCTACATATAAAACACTTTCCATAATCTTTCGAGGAGTTATGTCTGAAGCCAATTTAGTAATATCATCTCCTGGCCAAACATGGACAATTTCAGCACGTGTTACATCTTTCGGATCGTTGTTTCCATACCAATATTTTCGACTACGAAAAACTTCACCATGAAAAGGACATTCAATTACATATCTAGAAATCAAGAAAATTTCTAATAATATTAACAATTGTACTCGCAATCTCTAAAACTTCAATGATTCATAAGAACATGAACAATTACCCGCTCCACACATATTTAGCCAATCCTGACACAAGACTATCTGATTTTGTTACAATTTTACATGGCACAATAACATCCCGTCCTTCACGATGGCATTGCTTAAAAAAGACGAAACTAATGAAAAGAGAATTCTCTAAAATATTTTACTTACCAAACATTTGAATACTTCATTTCCAATTTCTTTTATGAACATACATGGTTCATTACACGAATGTGGAAGATCTTCTTTTTGATGATTAGCAGAATTAACACATTTAGAACTTTAAACAAAAGTAAAATAAATTTTCTGCTAAAATTGACAAATGAAACACATTTACCCGCATGCAATACATTTGAGACAACATGTAAAAAAATCATCCGGTAAACTTGATGGAACAGTATCAGGAATAACTTGACTATAAATAATAACAATAACATAAAAAATAAATATAAACATAAAATGAGTCGTATCACCTACTTGAATTTTTCATTTAAAGCCTAAATAAATAAACAGAAAAAATGTTTAGATATCTGTTATTCAATTTATTTAGTGTTTACCTACTTTCAAAGCATTATAAATAACACTCAATTTTCTTGGTGATCGTATTTTATTATTATCCAATGTAGAAAATATAGTTGACCTTAATTCTCCAAAATTCGTTGGTAATTTTTTCGTTTGTATACCAACATATTCGATTGTACTATAAACAACAAACACTAACAGTAATATAAGAGATACTTACAATAATAGAGATGTCAAATATCACATACATCTGTAATAATATATAATAATACAGCATAATAATTGAGTTATGATTATAAAAAATTTATTTTGACATTTCATAATCTACTGAGTCATCATCAGAAAATACGATGTCATTGTTTAAGTTACGAAGTACATATGAAGAAGAATCAGCTGTAAAATGTATGTAGCTATATAAAGATAAACGTAGATCGATTTTTAAGAAAAATTAAAAGTAAAAATGAAGATGAATATCATTTCTTCTTTCTTAATTGATTCTATTTGAAATGCCTGGAGGATATATAAAACGTGTCACAAATCAGTCGATATTGTTAAGTTGAGAAGAGTTCTGTTGTGCAGTCAAAGATTCGCGTATCAATAATCAATAACTTCTGCTATTATAAACTAAAATATTTATTTTATCAAAATTTATAGATTGACCCGTTTGTTTAAAGCAAATTTTGGTTTATATTCTAAAACTTGTTGAAATAAAGGGGCATTAATTTGTAATTGTGTATATTTTAATTGTATATCGTATTTTTTTATGATGAATCAGTAGATTGTGAAATGTGTCAAATCATAAATCAATTATTGTATTGTATTGTATTATTATGAGTTCTGAAAAGTTCAACTATTAAATAGAATTAATCGTACCTGTAAGCTTCGTACGAGCATTTCATTTTTTCAAAACGTTCTTTTAATTGTTCAACGGCCGTTTTTCGAGTTTGTAAATCATCTACAGAAAAATCGGTATCTTTAACCACATCAATTTGATTATTCCAGAGATATGTAACAAACCTCTTAAAACATCTGTATGTTGAGTTTCATGAAAAACGACCAATGTTGGTCCTAAACAAGTAATTGGACCATCAGCTTTTAAATTTTTCATTACATTTTCTAATTCTAAATAAAAATTAAGATAAATTTAAAATTCATATAAATGTGAAACTCGATTTGATTCGTGTTACCTTTCCGAAAAAATTTTAAAAATGCATTCGATGCATCCGACAAAAAATGAAACATATCATTTGGTAATTTTTGTGCTCTCGTACGGAATACAATAATATCACTGATACATAATATTTTTAATAATAAACGATTGCGTATGTTCGCATTTTGCGATATACCTATGAGAAAGAGAGAAATGTTAAGAGTGAGTCAAAGAACTCAGATCTTAATTTATCTCTCACAATATGAGAGTTAGATTGTTTTTTTCAATCATATTAAAGACGATATGTTTCAAGCAAATGGAAGATCACATGATAACAGAAATAAAGAGTACCTAACAATCCTTCAGTATCTAGTACTAATGTCTTTGTCGTTTGATCTAATGCTGCCCAAATACCCATTGTACACGAATTTGACGACGATGATGTTTGAAATACTTCAGTTCCTTTGAAAAATATTTGATTAAGTGTATGACTTTTTCCATCACCCGTATTTCCGATAATCGACAAACATTTAACATTTAGATCTGTTTGTTCACATTGCAGTTTACGTAAAAAATCTTGTTCATTGTTTACTGTTAGATGTTCTTTTGCATCCAAAAGCAATAGTCCTCCACCTCCATCTTCCTCTCTCTTTTCATCGTGTTTATTTCTATGATGATCTTGTTTCTTTTTTGATATAGCACTTGGTGTATCTTCATCATCTAACATTGATTCTAACAAAAGATGTTCATCAAAATTGTGTTGCTTTGGCAACATTAATTGAGCAGCTGATGAACTGTATCGAGACGATGTCGGTTTTTGTTTAAATGTTGTTGATGATGATCGTTCTTTTTTCGAATGGTGATAACGGTTATCAGTCTCCACAAATTCACTATGTTCATCGTCATTGTTCATGTCTATATTTTGAAATTTGCCGTGATTCAAATCTTCGAATGATGCAGATTTTCCTGTACTAGTTTTTGTTCCAACTATATTTGTTGATGATGAAGATGATGTGTGTTTGTCAGTAGCCGGTGGAATTTTAATTGGTTTTGATTCATGATGTTTTTGTGTTAGAGTAACCGGCTGTGGAAATTGATCACTAAAAAAATGAAAAATATTTTCACAGCAAAGAAGAAAGATGTCTTATGTAAAAAATATGAGTATTTCTTTGTTTTTTTATCAGCCTTACTTGTGCTTTTGATTATTTGGAGTCGTCGGTGTTTGTGTATCTTGACAAGTTTTTGATGGTTTATGTTGTCGCGCAGCTCCGTGACAATGTTGATCTTCCCAACATGGATAACAATAGAAACGACGACATTGTGTGCAATAGAATACAGCATGATGTTGTTTATTCGTTGAGCATAATTCATTCTCAATTTCACTCAAATTGAAACGTTCATGTTGTTCATTGTCGTTTATATTTTTGTGTAAATCGTTTTCACACGCTTTACATTGAAGTGTATTACAAGTTATACAGAAATAAGATGCTTCCGATGTTAATTGTGATTCACAGGCTACTCTTTCAGCACAAGTGAGGAATGAATTGACAGTTGCTGGTGAAGATGAGTTAGGAGAGGGATCATCGATACTAGGAGACATAGATTTTATTCGATTGTCAACGGAATCTGGCGATTGATCTTTGCTGCTACTGTTATTAAATCGATAATTCCATAGACATTTTGTTTCTGCAGGACTCTGCATCAAAATCTGTAAGTATAAGAGAAAAAACGTCTGTGTATGCGGCTTTCATAAAATAATGAACCAAAAACTTTTTCAACTCGATGATAACAGAATATATTTATGAATCATTTCCAGTGATTACTGGATTAAACACACGTAAAATGGAAAGTAGAGCAATAGTATTCTGTTCTTCTTCTTTTTAAAGAACTAAAACAAATAAATGAAAGCAATACAGTCCGGTGACTGACGACATGAAAAATCAGCATCGCACAATGTAACGCCACACTACATATGACCAGCTAGTCTGCGACTGGTTTTCTCTTTTGATGTTGCTTGGCTTGAGTCATTGTTATTACAGGTCGGGGACCTTTGATGACTCTCATTTTTCGTGATTAATACAAAAAAATAAAAATAAATAAATTATCGAATCAAAACACATTATCTCCACTAGCATAGTATCGATCGCTAGTGACATTCGATAATTTTCTTTTGCAGATAAGACGATGTAAACAACATAAACTTTGACCTCACTTTTGGTTGATCAGGTAAAAATTAATTTTATCATTTCTTAATATTTGTTAAACTATACCCTTTTATATCGTCACCACTCAGCACTCATAGTGCTGCATCACTCATCACCCATCATCTAAATCGTTGTATTGTTTTTGATTAGATTATATGTCTTCGTAAATGTCTTTATATGATGGCGTAACAGTCATTGTGATCATCGTTTTGATGATCTTCTCTTTGATTTATATTATGTATTCGAAAGTTCAAGTATTGTACTACTTGTATTTTTTGTTTGGAATATCGTTTAGTAGTTATCGTTATAATGAGATCAGAAGTCAGAATAAATATGGATTAGGGTTATCGTTTCATTTCAATGGACGTTTTTTGAGCGTCCTGACTTTACCATGTTGATCATTTTTCGTTGGTTCTATCGATAGATAGATTAGAACAAGAAAGCTATCTATAGATAGATTAGAATAAGAAAAATAAATCTTTCAATAAGTTTCAATAATCGTGGTTCCAAACGCTTACTGGAGCAGATTTTTGGTCCTCCTTACTCTTATTTGTTGTTTTTATTTAAGTCATAACATTTTGAAAAACAAATTTATGTTTGATCTTTTTTTGGGGTTTGTAGAACAGCATAGCTCAAGAGCGATATATGGATGAACCAATTAAGTGTAAATACCAGTTAATTCACGACTGTCACTATATTTTTTTACTTGAAATGAGTGTTGTAAATTCAGTAATATTCAGATATGTTAACTCTCTTTAATTAGTGCCTAAAGATTTTATTTATTTGTACAATTTTTCAATTTTGCAGTAGCTTCATCTAAGAATTTCGGTATAATGAATTATTAAAGAAAAATCTTGTTTTAGATTGCTATTAATATTCAATTCAGAGATATACAAAATGACTGATTCAAAATACTTTACCACGACACGAAAAGGTAACATATGTTTATTGTTTTTACGCCAAGTAATCTGAGTCACTGTTTAGCTACTAAAACGTTATTTATTCGCTTGCTTCTTTTCTTGCGTATATGCCAGATTTGATCTGCTGAGCTATTGCATGGCAGTAATAAGTAAAAATATTGAAGAGGATTGTGGTTTCATTATTAACGATGGTTTTTGCTAAATATGCGTTATAGGAAAAGACGAGTGCATTGTAATGATGTGTAAATCGAACATGCATAATGTTATAGATCATTAGCTTGTCTAATTTCTTTCCGAATATTGCTAATGGCTGAGTTGCCGCTAAAACAATCATTGCATCTATTCATATTGGCGAAAAGATAAGGAGTGGGCTGTTTAGTGGATCCGATTTATCTTCTGGTTATTTTTCCAGTTATATGATCGGTTTTGAGATCAGGATTGACAATATTTTTAGAAGAAACAAAAAAGCTTTCGAATTTTTCTGCTGAATGTTTCTTATGTCTCTCTTCTCCATTTCGCCGGTTATTATGTCTAAAAAAAGAATTCTCGAATTAGAAATAGTTTGTAATCTAAAACTTTTCCCTAACAATGTCATATACTCGTCTAATTTCGCGGTAGTTCTGTGGGTAATGTGAAACACTTTCTAAGAAAACTGCCGTGGGTGGTACCACTACGGAGTACTTTTTGGATTAGATGAATTTTCGGTTATTTTCAGTATTTTCTATATGTGTGTGCTCATTTACAAAATAGATCTTAAATAGGTTAGTTGTAGGCGGGTACTACTATGCAAGATGCAAGCTAGCTTTCCCACAGGTAGGCACCGGTTTCGCTTTTTAATTGGTTAATCGAAACCGATCATAACCATAAACTTCAACATCGTATGGCTATTATTTTTGTGTTCTACATAAACGCCTTTTCTGCTCGAAGAACAATTATTTTGCTCTGCCCATGTGTCATATGGTTCTTTCTGAATTTTGAACGTTTTTTTTCCTAGTGTGAGCATTCCTAAATGTTTCCTTCATACTGTTTCAGATATATTTTCAAGAACATCTGCAAATAAAAAAGTTCTTTTGTTATATCGGTTATTGGGTAACCGAAACTGTTATATGCCTAAGCACAGGATTTAAAAAGTATCGGTGATTAAGTGACCGGTCACATTGGTAGAAAATGTATAACTGTGCAATTTTAAATGATAAATAAAGTAGACGATAATATTTTTATCTTACGGAGGATCTTCGTGTCTCCCTCCGCAGAAAAAGAGCAACCCTCATTTTTATTTATATGAAATACTTAAAAGGGGTTATCATGCTCTCTTCTGTTTAATTAATGTTCCTCAGTAACGAAAGGAAATCTGAAGAAATGCATGGGATCATTCCTTCATTTAGTTATTGACCTTTGAACAAAAAAATTATTGAATTACGCCTTCGGGTTTCTTAGATTTATGTACTATACTAAAACCTGTTTTAAAAAAAGTATAGGTAATAAAGTAAGCCGAATTATAATTTATAGTTACCCCTTAAAGAGGTTTTCGAAAAACCATTCAGAATCATCGAAGCCTAATTTTTCACCAAAAACGAAACATATTGTAAAAGAGAACACGGTAGACTACCCAACTATGTAGAAAATTCGCTATTGACTTTTGATTAAAAAAAGCAGCTTTTGAACAAGCTTCTCCTTAATCTACCGCACACAGGGCTTTCGTATGAATTAGGAGATGAGAAAAATAAATTTCAACGAGGAAGGATTTACCTGCTTTTCCAAAATATGCACACTCATTGAAAAGTGTATCACCTTCATCGTCAGACGGGAATAAAGAAATTGCAATTTTATTTGCAATTTTTTTTTAGAAATCTCTGACGAGTGAATATTTCCATGTATCCGCTCGCTTTTTTCCGAAACCTTGATTTCTTACAGAGGAGGTATAGCTTATAACGTTTTGTATGTAATAAATACAAGAAATCAAACAGTGAATTTTCTATGATTCATTGAAAAATCGGTAGTTTGTAAAAAATGTTCTACAGGCAACTCGATGAACTCTACAAGCCACACGAATCAGAATTTGTTCATCTACCTGGAAAATCTACATCAGCTGAAATGGATAACATGTTCGTGATCAGTATCGAACTTAATCTATAATCAAGAGTGTTTCGCAAAAAAGCGAGCGCACACTTAGGAATGTTCCCTGTTGTGTGCCACCTACCAATGTAATGAATAGTGTAGTTTACTGAATAGAAATAACATAATTTTTCTGTTTTATAAGTGAATTATGTTTATTGATTTGAAACTTTACCTTTCTGATGCACCATATACTTTGTTTAATACTATTTTTAATGACCAATATTCCATAGCAGTTTTTATTTTTAAAATGAATTGAAATGAAGTAAATAAACACACACGATAGTTTCATCTTTTTTTGAAATTTCTCTGCACAGGTGTAAATGACTACATGTAGTACGAATGTTTCATATATAATAACAACAAAAAAAACACGAGAAAGCATTAAGTGACCATATACATAAGAAAAAGGAAACTTTTTTTGTGTTAATCGTGCTGTTGACGGTATCCTTCTAAAATGGTCAAAGCAAATTTCATCTGACGCTTTAACGTTCTGTGTGTGTTTTTTTTCGTTTCTGTGTGTCTCATATTTTTTTTCCTCTATTTGACAAAGACATAATAATTCGACATATTATATTTAATAGCGAACTATCCTCTCTCTCCATCACATATGGTGAGTTAATAAATTACTGCTACACTATTCGATTCTCTTTTTTTCTTTACACACCTTTTTACGTAACACAAAATGTGTGCGTGTTTTTTTTATTATTATTATCATGAACAAATAAATTCTATCATGATCACATGCGTAAAGTAAAATATAAACTTTTTACAAGTTTGAGACTTCTTCAGAAAAAATTTAATTATAGATATCAGCTTTAAAGATACAGTGTCGATGATTTTTATGAAATTCGAAAACATTTTTTCTTAAAAGAAAAATTTACGGTTGACATATTCATGACTAAAAGAAATAGAAAACCTAATAGCATGTGTTGCTGTCAGAATTGCTATCTCAAATGTCTTTAATTAGAATTTCTTCCGTTTGCAATAAAAGAAGTTCTTTTTACAGATAATAAGTCATTTTTCTAAGACAAAGTATGACATCCATGTATGAAGCTGAGGCAAAGAAAGGTAGATCTGATAGTGTAACAAGTAAGCTGTAAAATTTTATCTTTGTTCATATGTTTTTTAGGCGAAATCTATGAGCTTAAAGCCGAATTGAACAGTGATAAACGTGATCGAAAAAAAGAGGCAGTTAAAAAAGGTAACTGTCATATGAAGACACTGCTACAATATTTGATTTGCTCTTGTTGCTGTTTTTTTCTAGTCATAGCGAGTATGACAGTTGGAAAGGATGTTAGGTAAGTAAGTTTAAGGATACCGATAGTTAACAAAAGTTTCGACTTAAGAAGTTTAAAACTTATGATTGTATATGTTAGACACTAACGCATACTGTGCAACACTTTGTTTTCCTTCAAACTGTTTTTTTTTGCTACAAAACTGTAACTCTCACATCATTTACATGTTGATTTGGACAAATTCAGCTTTCTGGCAATATTAGTGGTCTAGTGTTTCGAGTAAAATGTTTGTTTACACGCCACTCGAAGAGAAGTTAAATTCTGCATAGATTACAGTTAAAATGGATCTTAGATCATACGCTAAGGCTATCCTTTGTAAACAAATATATTATCGAGTATGTGTCAACATGTGAATTCGAGTTTTGAAACGAAAGAACCAGTTTGAAGGACAACGAAGTGTTGCACAGTATGCGCCAGTGTCTAGCATAAATAGCCATAGTCTTCAAACTTTTTAAGTTGTAACTATCGATCTGTGAGTAGCAGCTGAAACTCATTCACAATTAAAACATTTTTTGTTCTATAGTCAATTATTTCCGGATGTTGTTAATTGTATGCAAACAGATAATTTAGAATTGAAGAAATTGGTGTATTTATATTTAATGAATTATGCGAAAACTCAGCCAGATATGGCTATTTTGGCTGTTAATACTTTTGCAAAGGTATGTGTTGCTTTTATATTCTGTTTTCTATTTTTATTTGCAATGTTTTCTTATATAATAATAATGTCGTCGTCAGACATGTAGAGTGTTAAACTAATTCTCTATATTTATTCGCGTAAATAGTGCGAACATGATAGTAATCACATGGAATCTAAATTTGTCTTTCATTCAGAATAAATAAATATACTCGGATATTTTTCAAATGATTTTACCGACAAGAGAAAGAGACATGAATCTGTTTTCGACTAATATTAAACAATTCATAACTCACTCAAAATACGTTATAATGACTTGAAAACTTCAGGATGTACGATATTTAAGGTATTCTATATCCAATTTTATAGGGAACTTATAATATCGTATAGTTTTCTAGAAAATCTTTGAACAAAACAAATCGGTTTTTCAGTTTTTTCGGTCCCATAAGCACATGGTGAATTCTGTTTCAACAACGAATCTGACCATCATATTCACCATGGGTAATTATGTATATTCCATGCGATTTCAAGATTATCCCATGTCATTAGGCACTAGTCTTGGTGCTCAAAGAAAACCCAATACCACGTTGAAACCGCTGAATATTGAGATCATGCATAGCTCCCATTTTGAAGAGGATACTTAGCGTTCTGTATTTACGGAAAAGAATCAATATATTGCTGCTTTAATTTTTGGAGAAGTAGATTGATTTTCCGAAGATTCTTTCTAAACCCTTCTTTTGAAAAGAGAATGTTAAAGTTTGTTTTGTTTACGAGTAGACATACTGCCAGTCTCTTCTACTGAACATCGAAAATCGTTTCAATTTATTAAATAGTTGTACGAAAATATTCGAGTACATCCTACGTTGAACGCGATAGAAAAATAATTCATTTATGATTAAAAGTGATGCTCTACTTGTTTCAACTCAGATGGACTGCGTTTGTATATCTTCATTCTTCACCAGAGTTTAATATTTAGGATTGCAATGATCCAAATCCGTTAATACGTGCTTTAGCTGTTCGCACCATGGGTTGTATACGTGTTGATAAAATTACCGAGCATTTATGCGAACCATTACGAAAATGTTTAAAAGATGAAGATCCGTATGTTCGTAAAACAGCTGCAGTTTGTGTAGCAAAACTGCATGATATTAATCAACAACTAGTCGATGATCAAGGTTTTCTTGATATGCTTCGCGATCTTATCTCTGATTCAAATCCAATGGTTGTTGCAAATGCTGTGGCTGCATTAAGTGAAATAGCTGAATCATCACCACAAACCAAAGTATTTGATTTAAATAGTCCGACAATAAATAAGTTATTAACAGCTTTGAATGAATGTACTGAATGGGGTCAGGTATTTATTCTGGATGCCATTGCAAATTATTCACCAAAAGATGAAAAAGAAGCACAAAGTATATGTGAACGAGTGACGCCTCGATTAGCACACGCAAATGCGGCGGTTGTTCTATCCGCTGTCAAAGTATGCTCAGATAGTTCTCAAATACTACAAACTGTTTAAAAAATTTTTATTTTAAGGTTTTGATGAAATTTCTTGAATTAGTTGATCAACATAGCGAATTTGTACAAAATATGCATCGTAAATTAGCACCACCTCTCGTCACATTATTGTCAGCTGAGCCAGAAATACAATATGTAGCATTGAGAAATATTAATTTAATTGTTCAAAAACGGTGTGATTCTTGTCTTCTTCGAATCTACTATGATATATTTCGTCTGTTTCTGTTTTAGTGCCGATATATTGAAAAATGAAATGAAAGTATTTTTTGTCAAATATAATGATCCAATTTATGTTAAATTAGAGAAATTAGATATAATGATACGTTTGACAAATGCGTCAAATATAACACAAGTATTGGCCGAATTAAAAGAGTATGAATAATTTTTTTCTCTTATTTACTTTTTTGAATGAGTAAATTATTTGTTGTTTTAGATATGCAACTGAAGTTGATGTTGATTTTGTAAGAAAATCTGTTCGTGCTATTGGACGATGTGCGATTAAAGTTGAACAAGCGGCTGAACGGTGTGTTAGTACATTAATTGATCTTATACAAACAAAAGTCAATTATGTTGTACAAGAAGCTATTGTTGTTATTAAAGTATGCGACATTTTTTTGCATGCAAATTACCTTTTCATTAGTGAGGAGCAATAGTTGTGAGTATAGCCATGAACAGGCAGGAGAGGGAGACGTGGAGAGGGCACATCCTCGTAGTAGCTTTTTTGCCGTTGCCATTCTGCAAAAACTTTTGCTTGATTATTAGTAAACATAAAAGAACTGAAGTTCTCCTCTCTGAAATAAGCAATGCTCTCACTATGTCCATGAGTTAGTAAGCAAAGATAATAGTCGAGACAGGAGTATGAGAATTATTTTTTCTATTCAAGCGCAGTTATCTTTTCCAATCAAGATTTTGAACGTACTCTCTTTTATCGTTTTTAGGATATATTTCGTAAATATCCAAACAAATATGAAAGTATCATTGCAACATTGTGCGAAAATCTTGATTCATTGGATGAACCCGAAGCGCGGTAAGTTTCTAATTCTAATATATTTTTTATTTTTTCTTTACAAATTTTTATGATGCTTTTCTAGTGCTTCGATGATATGGATTATTGGTGAATATGCTGAACGTATTGATAATGCTGATGAATTATTAGAAAGTTTTCTTGATGGATTCAAAGATGAAAATAGTCAAGTACAGTTACAATTATTGACAGCTATAGTCAAATTATTTTTGAAAAAACCGAGTGAAACACCACAGGAGTTAGTTACACGGGTTTTAACATTGGTTACTCAGGTAAGAAACGTATTTTGTTAATTATAAAATTTTTCTAATAAATAGTTTGTGCTTTCAACAGGAATCAGATAATCCTGATTTACGTGATCGTGGTTATATTTATTGGCGTTTATTATCTACAGATCCAAAAGCAGCTAAAGAAGTTGTTTTAGCTGAAAAACCTTTAATATCAGAAGAAACAGATTTACTTGAACCAACATTATTAGATGAATTAATTTGTCATATTGGAACATTGGCATCTGTCTATCATAAACCTCCAAATGCATTTGTTGAAGGACGTCATATACAGAAAAAAAATTTACCATTAAGATCGGCAGATGCCAGTTACATGGGTTCAGCTGGTGGTGTAGGTGATGATGAAGAGAATGATATAATGTCACCAAAATCATCGCAACAACAAACAACAGTGATAACAAATAATGTAGGTTCACTCATCGATGATTTTGATATATTAGGACCGATTCCAACAACAAATTCAACAGCTCAGTCAAGTCATTATAATCCTTCGATTCCGCAACGTGCACCATCTGCCGTACCAAATTTACTTGATGATGAATTATCCTCAATATTAGGAGATTCACTCGGAGGTGCGCAGACGCCTCAACCAACAACACAGATAATAAGTCCAGCCATGGGTAATAAATCAAATACAACAACTGAATTACTTGATCAATTATTTGGCGATTTACAACTTGGTGGAGGTGTAGGAGGATTATCTTATTCGAACACGCCTGCTTTCTCAACACCAAAAGAAGTGAGTTATTGGATATTCCCTTATTCTTTCACCGTCATACTTTTCTTTTTATTTCTCATAGGTTTGGCTAAGTGCTCAAAAAGGAAAAGGTTTAGAAGTTTCTGGTACATTTTCTCGTCGTTCTGGTCAAATCATAATGGATATGGATTTTAATAATAAAGCATTACAACCTATGAGTGACTTTGCTCTACAATTAAATCGAAATAGTTTTGGTTTAACACCAGCGACTCCTCTTCAAATGGCCTCACCATTATTTCCTAATCAATCGTCATCTACTCAATTACAATTAAATACGAATGGTCAAATATTAAAAATGGATCCGTTAACAAATTTACAAGTAGCAATTAAAAATAACATTGATGTATTCTATTTTGCTTGTACTGTGCCCATTAACGTATATTTTGTTGATGATGGTGAAATGGATAAAATGCAATTTGTACAAACATGGCAAGATATTCCAGAAAATAATGAAATTAAACATCAAATACAAAATACACACGGATTATCAATTGATGATATTCAAAATAAATTGAGATTAAATAATATACATACCATTACGCGAACAATAATTGAACAAAAAGAAATGTTATATCAAACAATGAAATTAACAAATGGTATATGGATATTAGCTGAATTGAAAATAACACCGGGAAATAAAACAATAGCTGTAAGTTGTTCATAAACTACATGTTAGATAAATAATGAAATGTTTATTTTTTATTTTAGTTATCACTCAAAACAAAAGTGACAGATGTTGCTAATCCTGTTCGTCAAGCGTATGAAATGCTTCTTAGTACTTAATGATTTAAATTTTAATTGTTGTTGTTTTCCTCTCTCATTTTTATTGTATTTTACATATTTATGTTTAAACGATTCACTAAAAACAAAAAACCTTTTGGTTATGATCTTGCACAATTTGTGTAGTTTTTCTTCTCGCAATACGCTTTAATAGTTTTCTTTTTTTTGTCTATACCCAATTCTTTTCTTCCATATTCTCTGATTGTATAGTTATATGAAAAAAAAAATGTATCGTTCGTTTCGTCAATTTTACTCTCGTCCTATGTTGTTAGTGAATAAACGATGAATTTTCCCTGGATGAACAGAATATCGCAAAAACTTTAAAGTTCTATAGTTTTTTCCAGTGTTGAAACACTATACATCATATGTTACGAATGAATCTCTGTTAATGTATCATTTTGCTTGCGCTATACAATACACATAAATATCTTATACTCAACAGGAACAGTTTTCAAATTAAACAAAACAAAGACCACATAAATTCAGAAGAAAAGAAGCATTGTACATATCTCGTATAAAAAAGATGAATTATTTTCATCCATTAGTAAGTTTTATCCATTTCGAATATTTTTAATAACATGTCCTTTACAAGTTATATGTTGGAGTATGGTGCAGATCAGCAAAATGCTCGCATATATCAAAACAATTATTGGAAATGTTTCTATGTGTGTTCTCGCTATATTTATGATGGAAAAATTGGTAATGTTTACTTTATTAACGTTTTCAGATTTGACCATCAGTCGAACTTTTGTCGTGCACAAAAATTATGCAAGTAAGTGATGAAATAAACTTTATTTTATTGAAAATGTCTTCAGATGACTATATATAACGTACGATGCAGAAATGTCTCATCTCCAATTGAATGTATAAGAGTTGATTTTGTGAAAAAGACTTTCTATGAGCAATAAAATTCTAAATTTTTTCTGTCTAAAATATTCTGCTTATATGTTAGTTATTGATACTATATTGTCATATGTTTTGTTCTGTTCTTTTTTAGCAAACATCATTTTTCTGATGCACACGAAGCAATTCGTTGTGTACGTTATAATATCGATGGAAATTATTGTTTAACATCAGAAAATGATCGTACTATCAAACTATGGAAACCGGATAGTAGTTTGAGTATAAAAACATATACTGGACATAGTCAACACATTTTCGATGTACAAAGCTCATTTGATAATTCACGAATATGTTCTGGTAAACATAGTCTTATTTCAAAATTCATCTAAATACTGTTAAAGTTTTTACAGTGAAATTATTTTATTTTACTTAGGTGGAATGGATAAACGTGTCTTGTACATAGGTGTTGTTAGTGGAAAAAGTATGAAAACATTTCATGCAGGTACAATAATATCTGTTTTTAAATACGTCTGCATTTATGTAGTTCATTTTTTAGGACGTGTTCATGTGGTAAAATTTAATAAAGAAGCCACTGTTGTCGTATTAGGATCGATTGATGGCACTGTTAAATTATGAGATGTAAAAAGTCGTGATTATGAACCAATTCAAATTTTGGATGATGCAAAAGATAGTGTAATAAGTTTGTGTTTAGGAAACAATCAAATATTAACATCATCGTTAGATCGATGTGTTCGAATATACGATATATAAAATATAGATATGTAAAATTGTATCAAGATTATATTGGTCATAATTTAACTTACATTAGTCTTGCGCATAATCAGCAGTGTTTTCTTATCAGTACATTATCTAGTCAACTTTTTCTGTTTGATAAAGTTAATGGAAAACTATTATAAACCTATCATGATTATAAAAATAATGAAAATTCATTTAGTAATGATGATCTATATGTCTACAGTGGTTCAGAAGATGGACGATTGATTTGCTGGAATTTATTAATAGGCAAACAAGTATTTTCGTTAGAACATGAAAAAAATAATAAAAAATCAGTGAATACAATAACACAGCATTCGAAAGAAAAGAAAATTATCACAGCACAAGAAGGAATGATTTATGTATGGAAGGAAAAGGGGAACAACAACAACAACGATGACATGAATATTGTTGTAGAAGAAAAGCAAACAATGACAGAAAATCCTAATATTAAGAAGAAATTATTAAAAGTGCCAATATTTGTTCGTGGAAATCACAAAGAGTGAAATGTCAACTATGTTATTGTCGAAAAGACAAACGAGAAATGTTCTTAATTGTAGAGACTAGGAATCAGTGATAGGAGATTCTTTTCACGATGCTCAAAAAAGCCTCAAAATGACACCATAAAATCTGACAAAATCAATATTTTGACGATTAAGCCCAATCACGCTAATTTGTAGCAAATTATTTAACGCTCAAACGGTTTTAAGTAAAATGCCTTTACAGAATCAAAACTTATTTTGCGTTTTCTTAAGACTGTTTTTTAGTGTCAGGGCTTTCGCCACGCACAAGAATTCTCGGTAACGATACATCGGAGGAAGTTTTTCTTTTTTTTATTTGTGGATAACACCTACAGCTAGGGGTTGACAGAGTCCGATTTTTAAATTATGCTTCTGTTTTTTATAGAAATGAGGTTTCTGAGAAACCTTCCAAGGATTTTTCGGATTTTAAAGTTCTGTTAAGCACCAGAAATCAGTAAATGATAAATTCAAAAATCCGGCTCTGTCAACTTCTAGGCAGAGGTGTTTGCTGCAAAACAAAAACAGTCCGAGCTCTCCATCATTTATCTGGAATGAGAATTCCTGTGCGTGGTAGACGCCTATTGGGTTCTTCCACGCAGGTCCGCCCACTGTATACAGAGCATCTTGCCGCGAAAACTTCACCTTGCCCATCGTGTAGAGCATCAAAAATAACCTAAAAGCCTCGCTTACGCTTTTTTGAAAAAACGTGTTTGAAGTGGTTTTCTAGACACCTCAAGTTTTAGGTGAGGATGAAACCGAAGTCGGTGAAAATGAACGAAACATTTCATAATTATACATCAAATTGTAGCTCTTGACGAGTTGATTCTAATGGTGAAGGAATTTGGTCTCGATCTAACTTTACATTCGAGTGGTACTAAATTTCCTTGAAAAACTCCTGAAGTTTGACCTCGATTTTCTCCTAAACGCTCCGAAAATTTTTCGAGATTTTTTCGGGATAGAAACTACTTGGGTTGAGCTAGGTTCCTGACCCGGGAGGGCTTAAAATGTTTGAATAGATGATCAACAGTAGCAGCGAATTATTCTTCTATTAGATTTTATTAGCAGTATTTGAGTTAGGTATGCACCGGTATCGGTATTCATACCGAAATACCGATACCGAAAATATCGAACTTCGGTATATACCGATACCGAAAATACCGACTTTTTTCACTTAGAATTTTTTGGATTTTTTCATTTGAAATGAGATGTTTTAGCGTCCTGGACACCCAGAATGAATCAGGGACGGAAAACAA